TGCTTTCAGGCCGTTTCTTGGTGGTACTTTCTGATCCGACCTCCTCCCCGTCCTCACAACCTCTGTGCCCAGCCCTCTTGCCAGGCACACACATGTGACATGTATATAGTGTGTGTGCATCCTCTCAAGGTGGACTGCTCTGTGCGGCCGTACCTGCCTCCCTCAGCTGCTGTCCACACGGAGGCTGTCAGCCTAGGGGCAGGTTGAGAGCATGACCTGGTGCCTGTGTGCTGCCAGGCAGCAGCAGGGGCATGGGCCTTTCTCCTTTTACCCTCTGTGTCATTAGGCGTTCATCATGCCAGCCAGGGCATGCTCATCATCTGAGCTCTGGGAACGCATGGGTCCCCAGCCTGGAGCAGCACAATTGGGGATGCAGTACCTGCCCCAGAGGCCTCTGAGCCTCCGCCCCCGAGCTCCCCACCGGCCCCGTATGCTTTCACTAGGTTTGTCCCTGAGGAGGGTGAAAGTTTGTGTGGGGTCAGTGGGCTGGGATAGTGATTTGAGATTTAAAACTCCTTGAGGGTAAGGAGAAAGAACTTCAAGAAACAATGGGCTCACTGGACTCTGTAGCCCAGCGATCGCCAACCTTTCGGACCTCACGGACCACCAGTGGTCTGCGGACTATTGTTGGCGACCATTGCCCCAAAGGTTTCCTTAAACCAGCGGTCGCCAACCTTTTGGGCCTCACCGGTCACCGGTTGGTGACTGCTGCTGCACTAGGGCGAAGGTGGGAATGTCCAGTAGGGAAAGAGCAGGCGGGCTCTGCAGCTGCCTCAGCTGGGACTCAGGACCTCAGTGTCCTGTTCTCTTCCCTCCACCACTTTTACTGTTTGCTGCCTCCCTCGTTCCCTTCCGTTTTCTCCCTAGAAAAGCCTGCTATTTAGCTCAGGCCAAACCTTCTCAGTGAAAAGGTGGCCTTGGGCACAAGTGCTTGAGGAGTTGTTCAAGCCAGCATTGCCTTGCTGCTTGTTGCCTCTGCTTTCCCTCTCCTCGAGCAGGGCACCTGGCCCACTCAGGGGGCTTCCGTGCCCACACGCGTCACCTGCCTGCCTTAATCTTCTGTTGCTGGGGATGGCCCCGTGGGTTCCCTGACGCAGAGCAACCGCTGGCCCCGGTGGATTTGACTTGCTGTTGCCCACTTGCCCTCCGGCACAGGGCTGAAGGGATGGCTGAGAAGCCTGAGACAGGCAGTTAGCCAGAGGTGAATTTAATGACCTCTCCTTCTTCTGAAAGCCAAAGACCAGCTTGAATTCTTCTGCTATATTCATGGTTATAAACTTTCCACATCTAGGTTCTTGGAAATTTAAATGCGTGTATTCTTAAACAATGTTTCCTGGGTACTGGGCATGTGCCTGTCTGAGCCCCAGGCCTGTCTGTCCATCCCCACCGTACAGTCTGTTTGTCTCTCTCTGGGCACCACCAGAGAGGACAGTGCCCGGTGGTTTTCTAAGATGATTGCCCTTCCCTGTTCTCTGCCAGGAAATGCAGTTTAAATATGGCTGAAGATGGCAGAGGGCAGGTAGCCTGCTAATCATTTTTTGTTTTGTTATTTGTTTCTGTTTTGGAAACAAAATGGGGCTTTAAATTCTCTTTTCCAAATAAAGGTTTACTCCCCTCAACCCCCTCCTGTTGGTCATTTTATTAGGATCTTGCAGGGCACGGGGGAGAGAAGGCCTGGAGAATGAGGTGGGCTGAGAGGAGGAGACTGGCCTTGTGGTGGGGTCTCAAGTCTAAATCTCCACGGGAGAAAAGTGAGGGAATCTCCCTCTGCTCACGGAGGCGTTGGGGGAACCGGGCTTGGGCGAAGCCTCTGCCCTGACTTTTCTTGTGGGTCAGCTCTCTTCTCCATCCTAGCCAAGCTAGAGGAGAATAGCTCTTTCAGCCACTGTTGTTCTTGTTCCATCTGCTGCCCCCTCCCCGCTCCGTCCAGACTGCATTTCAGAAGGGTCTGTGTGGAGTGGAAAGTGGGACGAGAGTGTTTTCCTATGGCAGCTGCATGAGGCCTGGTGCTTGCAGCAGATGCCTCTTACTGAGCTGCTATTTTTGATAATCTCTTTTGTGTTCTGGAGCCAGAGCTGAGCTGTGGGCCATCTGTTGCGGGAAAGTTTCTCTTCTTCCTGGGCCTCACTCTGCTGGTACTTTTGTCCTGCAGCCTCCTTAAGCCGCAAGTCCACCAAGCCCGCGTGGGCATGGGAAGCTCTGAAATGGGGGTGGTTTTCTGCCTTACCTGACCAGATTCCCAGCCCCCACACCTGTGAGTCAGCCTCTGCGGATCTGAGTTACTGAAAGCTGCCAGGGTGATTCTGTTGAACCACCTGGGTTGGGAGTCAGTGGAGAGAGCACCGCCTGGGAGTAGGAACACCACTTGTCATCTTGGCCTGGGGACTGTGGGTGAGTTAACGCTTGTGTTTCGGTTCACACATCTTGGTGAAATGGAAATTAAAGCAATAATCTTTTCCACTTGGGAGGAATTTTCAGCTCTGAAATTGTATTGGTTGGGCGTTGACAAGCAAGGGCTGCTGAGGATTTTGGAGTATTGGAGGGAAGTGCGGGTGGGTAGTCCTCCCCAGCCAGGCTGGACGATTGGCCCACGGGCTGGGATTGTGTGATACCTCCTAAGCTTTGAGGTGTATCCCCAGACCCCTTTCCTGGCCTAGAGGGTTCCCTACAGCACTTCATCAACCAGGACTCCATGCCCACTCTGCACAGATCACAGCACTGTGACGGGCAGTCCAGGTATTCATGTATAATATTACTTTTACACCCGAGGAAACAGAAACCCCAAAGAGGTAAATGGCCAGTCTCCTTTGCTTTATTTCTTGCCACCCCATGCTCCTCAGCACACAGCTTTTCCAGGAGCAAGAGAGAGGCTATCTTTCAGGGCAGATGCATTGTCAGAGTGGTGGTGCTGGTGGTGGGGGAGTGTGGGTAGGGAGGGAAACCACCCACCAGGTTGCAACTGGTGTGCTTTTATTTTTAAACCCAGTTTTGTTTTTCTCTGCAGTTCTTGCCCTGGTATAGCTACTAACGGGTTGTTTTTTGATTGGTTACAGAATGCGTGCGGGGCTTCTCTCCTCCAGGTGTATGAGGGACTCAGGGGCAGAGAGCTGACCTATAGCCCTGCACTTCTAGGCTCACCCTGGTGCACCTCCTGTCTCTTTCCCTCCTGAGAACTGTGCAGAACAAAGCTGCTCCAGGCGAGGTCAGCCTGATGAGAGCTTGGGGTGCCGATCTTGCCTGGGTTGGGAGAAGGTAAACTTGGTGTTTTGAAGGGAACTGCCTCTGCCCCGACCCTAATCAGTTTCTATGCTCCTCAGGCCCGAGGCCTCACCCTGCTGTGGGGAGGAAGGTGCATACACTTAAATTCTTGGAGGTGCTGTCTTTCCTATGACTAAGTCCTTTCTGGCTGCAGGTTCGAAAGGATACGTTACCAGGTGGGCTGGCCTCAGAGCTGTCCTTCCCACTGACCTGAGGTGGCCCATCTCTACCACCTGCCAGGCCCAGCAGCATGTCCCCTCACCCTCTTGGCAAACACTAAGGATGGCCAGGCAGCCTGCAAGTGACCACTCTTTGGTCTGACTACCACTGCCTATCATCATCCCTGCCCTCGACACATTGGTCAAGATGTCAGGTCCTGGCAGACGGGGTGGCAGAGCTTCAGCCTCCTCACGTTCAGGGCTCTGAGAAGTGCTACCTCCATCCAAAGGCTCACCCCAAGTCATGTGCTAAAAGTCGGCAAGCACCTGCTGGGAGCCTGACAGCAAGTAGCAGGGCAGCAGGCCAAGCGGAACCCCCGCAGATTGGGTTCTGACCTTCCTGGAGCCACATTTACCTCTGCATCAGCTCTGAGCAGCCAAGCGTGTCCAGCACCAGCTTGCTAGACTCAAGATGCTCACCCCAGCCCTTACTCAGCTTTCATTTGCAAGAGAGCAGCCCCGGCCCACTGTGAGTCCATCTCGCTGGAGCCCACCCAGAGGCCCTTACTTAAAGGTATTTTAGCGGGATTGAATGTGTCAATGACAACATTGCCTTTGGGTAAAGGTGTTGGTCCTAGTTAGTCCCAAGTTCTGTTACCTTTATCGAAAGGTGCTTTTTGGTATTAACCTGGTTTATATGAGCCTGTATGTAACAAAGCTGCGCCTATTTAATGGTGACATTTGTGGATCCCAGTGGCCGGCGTCTCCTCTTCCCAGCTGCCATGCCTCACCAGCACACACTGCAAGTGAGGGAGCTTGCTGTGCTCAACTACGCTTCTAGTTAGGACTTCTCAGGATTTGCTGGGATAAGAAGTAGGAAGCATTCCACCCCTGATAAGTCTAGGTTTTACTCTCCAGTTGAATGAGAGCAGGAAGAGGGGAGAAAGGGTTAAAGGTGAAAAATGCTTCTGGGTCTGAGAGATTTCTGTGCAAGCTGCTTGCAACTGTTTGGGCTTATCTTAAAGCCTGGGAAGAGGCCCAGAGCTGGAGGGATGATGCAGCGGAATGGGTGACGGATGGACCCAGCTGTGTTTTCCAAAGCTGCGGCTTCAACCACCATAGATTCTGTACTGGTAACTGATGAGAAGGACTTCAGGTCCCTGTTGCTATGGTTTCCTGAAATAACCTCATCTTCCAGGAGGATATTCACCCTTTCTCTGTTCTGGAAGGACTGACTGTTGGGGAAGAGGAGAGGAAGAGCAGGGCTCTGGAATGTAGGCTCCGGGGAGCAGACTCCAGCCCCCCTGCGGGGACCAGGCTGGCTGTGCGAAGGAGAAGGGGTGCACTTACAGCCAGCAGGAAAGGTCTTCCCAGATAGGCTTTCTAAGAGCTCTGTGGCTTCAGCAGGCTGAGGGGGACAGACTAGGAACCCTGAAGTTCCATCCTGACTGCAGGGGCTGTGGGGCTTCCTGTTGGTTGGTTTGGGGCTCCCCTCACCTCCGGTCAGGCTCTTCCCAGAGACGCCGAGGCTGACGGTGGCCCGGTGGGCTCCAGCCCCGGCTCCCAGAGGAAAGGAGACAAGGCTTGCAGGTCCTGGTTCCCAGCCAGCCCATGCAGCCGGAGCTGGGGAGACTTTATTCATTTGGGCAGGGTGGGAAAGGAATGAGACAAAGTGTAAAAGTGGAAGGGGAGGCGCAATACTGATATGAGAAGAGGAAGAACAAAACTAGTACAGCACACAGCCCAACACAAACTCAAGGGAAAAGGTCGGCTGCCATCTCCAGGCCTGGGGCCACGCACACCCGGTTCCCCCTCTGGTCAAATTTGAAGAAAAAGTGGAACTTGGGACACTGGAGCACCAAGGCGGGGTGAGAGGTTCAATACGGATGGGCCTGCAGCTAGCACCACAGCAGCCCTGCCTGGCCTGGGCAGCCCTCCCCGCTCCAATCCCACACTCCTCCCCACACTCCTCGGAGGACCTCCCAGTTGCACTGGGAACAAGGGAAGAGGGAATGTGAACACCACGGAGCTGGCTATGCAATCAATAGGCCAGCCCAGCTTTCCCTCCCTGCGCTCTGAGGCCAGAGGGTGGGCTGCGGATGCTCTGGGGCTAAGCCAGAAAACAGCCCAGACAAGAGGCCAAGGCGCGCACAGGCCTCTGGAGAGGCTGCTGACCAGAATCAGTCCCATCCCAGAGCCAGGAAGTGGGGTCCCAGCTGGGAGGGGTGGGTGTGATGACAGGGCCAAAAGCAGACACGGCTCCTCTGGCCCTAGGCTTCACCACTGTACCAGGGCTGGGGCTACCGCACTCCCCACTTAGCCAGGCCTACGAAGGATGGGTTGGCCGGTGTGATGGGTGCGAGTGACTATGTGTTGAGGCCATGGGAGGGAGAGGACTGGCAGTTAGGGGGGTGGGCACCGAGCACAAGGAGCCAGGCTTGGGGAGCAATCACCCCCCACCCCACCTGACCCACCTTCATTCAGAAGCTTTTTCTGACCTCACCTTGACCCCTCAGCCAGCAGCCCACACCCCAGGGGCAGAGAGCTGGCAGGCAGTCCTGAGTCGGGGGAGCCAGGCTGCTGGTCCTCACAGGAAGTGAGATGAGGTGATAATGAGGATGGTGACTAAGGCCTCAAAGTCCCTGCCTCTGCCTCCCCAGAAACTGCAGCCAGGCCAGCCCCAGGAAGCAGAGCCTGTGTAAACACGCCCGGAGGGGAGGAGGGGTTGCTACATATGAGAAAGAGGAGTTAAAAATAAATTAAAAAGCACCACTGCATCTACATTCCCAATATCCGTGGTGATCTCCCCAGGCCCTAGGTCTCAGCCAGGAGGGGGGTGCTGAGGATTATCAGCTAGAATTATAGCTCATTCCCTCACAGACAGACAGCAATTGGGGGGCGGGGGGGGGCGGGGGCTTCATTCTGCTTCCTTCTCTCCAGAGGACTCTGTAGTGGGACCTGTGGGTTGGAGCATTCTTCCTGGCTTCTGTTCTGGAAGCAGCTTCCCTGTTTCCCTGACCTAAGCTTCCAGCTCCCAGCTGCCTCTTGCGTGTCTCAAGCTCTGTGGTCCACTGGGGCAGGTGGAGCCACTTCCCTGCTGAGCGGCCTGCATGAGGCATTCACATCCAGACCCGGAAATGGCCTCGTTTTCAGCCTCATGCCTCCCAAGTGAGCCACCCCTGTCTCAGGTGAATGTGGCAACATGAGGACCACCACCCACTCCCTGAAAGCTGGACGGGATGGTGAGTCAGGGGTCACAGTGGCCTTCGCTTCCTCTGGCTGCGGTGTCGCCCAGAGGCAGGTTAAGTACCTCCCCAGGGACCAATAATCCATGAAGAACCCCAGGGACTGGCCAGCTGGCCTCCCTGCTGGGCTGGGCTCTGGGCTAATTGCTGCAGATTTGAAGAGCTGCCGGTCCCGGTGCCACTCTTGATGCACACTCCCATTAGCAAAGAAAGCCTGTCTCCCTCTCCCTCCTCCTTTCTTTGCTTCCCGAGTCCCATCCATCTCCAGAGCAGCTGAGAACTGCACTCTCGCTACTCCACTCCACCCCGTCTGGTGACACAGCAGCCATGGAGTCTCCGGTGTGTCTGGTCTGCAGGGAGCATGAGGAACATGGGACACTGCCCACTCCGGGAGCCTCCGCAGGGGGCCCCTGCCCTGGCCCGGCCAGCCCTGGGCAGCCTAGGACTTTCACATTTCCCTCCTCAAAGCCCTGCTTCCCAACACAAGCTCTCCTCTTCAGAGATTACAAAGAGGCCTTCTCTTTCATGTTGGTTTTTAAAATTTCCTGAACTGATTGCCAACATTTAAAAATCAGGATATTTCACATAAAAAATTCAGAGTTCTGGCCTCTGAAAATCTCAGAAGATCTGGCAATGCAGGGCCTGCGCTCTAACAGCTGAGCAGCAGTGGCTGCTTTAATGGGACCTCTGCCCTCTTTAGTTTGCCACCGTCCCCACCCAGCCCTGCGGTCCTCCTTTCCATCACCTGCCTGGCCCTGTGAGGTTATCTGAGTTTACAAATCTAGTTCTGACCCTCCCTTTTCCATGCTCCCAGCCCCTCTGCTGCCTCATGACAGCTGCCCCTGGCTGAATCAGAGCCTCTCAGTTAAAATTAACCTGAATGGTCCTTCCATCCAGCTACCCTTCCATAACCTGAGTCCTCTCAACTGCTTTCTGACAAGTACTGGTAGCCATCTAGTCATTGCCTAAGTCCCTCCGGCAGTAGGGAACTCACCGCTCCCCAAGGCAGCCTGACTCTAAATTCTCCCCCATATCCTTTTCTCACGTACATCCACCCCCATTCTCAGACTCTGCCCCTCCTCAGGGGCCACACTGCACCCTTGCCCTCCACCTCCTTGTTGCTTAAAACTCTGGAACATTCCCCCAACCCTACCAACCTCTTTCTACTACCTCTCACCTGCCCGCCAGTTCTCTCATGCCAGTGGGAGGGCTGTGCAAACTCCGGCTGTTCAAATTCTTCCCTGACATCGGCTGGAACCCCCAAACCTAAATAAGCTGCTAGATGAGGGGAGGTGGACCTGGGGCACAAGCGTTCTGGCCAGGTTTCATTTCCCCACAAGGGCTGAGGTAATGGGAGGGGGGAGGAAAGGGGACAGACCCAGGCCTGCGTGTATGTCCCCAGCCACAGCTCCTGGGCCACCAGCTCTGTTCAGTCCCCACAGTCATGCTGAGCCCAGTGCAAATCTGAGCCCTTGGCTCTGCCCAGGCCTCTGCAGTGAGCCCAGCCTCAGCAAGAGGCAGATCTGGGCTGAGCAAGAGGGGATAGGGGCTCCGCAACTCTTCCCCCAGTGGTTCTCTCGTGTGCTCTCCCTCAGCCCCCCAGCAGGGGGCGTGCCAGTGCTCAGTGTCAGTCCTCAAAGCACCATCTGTCTGTGGGCTGCAAGGTCAGGAAGGCTCTCCTGGGCTGTGGACTCTCGCCCTTGGGGAGATGTCACTGTGTGAACCTCCTGAGATGGGCACAGCCTCTCCCAGGATGTTTCCTACCCTGCTTCCTTTTCCCTGTGTCGAGATGCCGCCAGGGCAGGCGGACGTGGAGAAACACCCCCACCCTCTGCCGCTCTGCCACAGGCCTTGTGGGCTGGGAGATTTCCCGCACGTGGGACAGACCCACATCCCAGAGTCACCAGGGGCAGGGGAGCCAGCAGAGCCAGCCACGCCCCCTCACTCAGCCGCATGGCAATTCTCCCAAGCACACGCCTGCCAGGCCCATCACATTTTTTAGTTTTCCCCAAATACCGTAAACTGTAGTGTCAATTTAAAAACTCCAAGTAAAACACTTAACTGCCTCTCGGCCCAAAGTTGGGAGCTTGGCCTCATCCGAGGGAGGGGCCGCAGCCTGGGTGGCTCAGCTGGAACACACTCTTCCAGCCGCCGCTCACCTGCCCCATCGCCAGCCCTGCCTGCCCCAGGTGCCAGGCCGGTTCTGGCAGGAGATCCTGGCCCCCCCCGGTGTGGGCGAGGCCGGGTGCTGCCACCTTCTTCACACCCGGATCTGGTACCCATTGAGGTCTGGCATGGCTTTGGGCTCGGAAGGCTTCTTCTCACCCGAAGGCCTGCAGGGAGGAGAGAGCGGAGGGAGGAGAAGGGTGAGTGGTCCATCAGGGATGTGGGGGAGGAGGCTGCCCCCGGGACCTCCCCGCTCCATTCTTCGTGGTGCCCAAATGCAACAGCAGAGTCCACGTGGGGGTGTGCTTCTGGAATCCCGGCCGGTGCTGTCCGGGGTGTGGACCCTCCGATCCCTTACAGCTCCCGCCCTTTGCCGGAGGCCAGCTAATCCGGCCACAGTTGGCTATAAAAGCTTCAGGTGTAAATCTCTGTGAGGGGACCCAGTTCTTCAGATGGAAGCGAAAGATGCTGGATATTGGAAGCCTGCTTGGTGCCCCTAGATCAGGGGTCTTCAAACTTCTCTCGTTATGAGAATCACCTGGTGGAGTTGTTAAAACACAGATTCCCGGATCCCAACTATAAGAAGTGCTATCAGGAATCTGTGTTTTAACACCTCCACCAGGTGATTCTCATAATGAGAAAAGTTTGAAGACTCCTGCCCTAGATCATACCAGACAGGTGGCTCCTGAATGACAAGGATATTGAAAGCAAGAGCCAGACAGGTAGGAGACAAATCAGAGGTGGTAGCTTGACCTTTTAATGGGATATTTCTGCCATCCAGATAGAGGCAAAAACCACAGACTCCCAGGGGCAAAAGTTCTGTCCAAAGCCTGCTACCTGATGTTCACACCTTTCCCAGCAATATCCTGGGAGAACCGCTGTCTGGCAGGGCCCCTCCCACCCACGCTGGCCTCAGACCTCTCGCCAGGGGCCAGGGTAACGAGAGGGCCAGGGAGTGCTGCCTTCTCTGGGGAAATGGAACTGCGTCGCTGCTGGCAGGTGTCAACACATAAACACACAAACCCTCCACCCCAAATCACCTCTCTTCAGCGGGGGCCAAAGAGAACAGTGGGAATGAGAAAAGTGAGGTGAACAAAAGTAGGACCCGGAAGATGAGAGGAAAGGAGAGAGCCTTCTTCCGGCCCCCGTCACTCACCGCCTTTCGCTGCGGCTGTTCCTGCGGTGGGGGCTGGACTGGCCCCGCTGTGGGGAGGACACGTCCTTCTTCCGGTCCTTGGTCGGGGAGGGAGGGCCGGTCCCTTTGCCGATCTTGGGGGAGGAGGGGAGAGAAACAGAGACTCATTCCAGGGCCCGCCCTCCAGGCTGTGGCAGAGCCTGGCCTGCTCTGTGGGAGCCACATGCCCCAAGGCTGCACTGGGTAGACCAGGAAGATCAAGCCACCACTTTGCCCAGCCTCCCGGTCCTCCCAAACCTGTTCTGGACACTAAAGCTGCCAGGGCAAGGGGTCCTCAATCCCAGTTACCCCTAAGATAGTGTGGATGTTGGGGGATGCCACTGAGCTTTCGTGATAAGAGACCTCCGAGAAAAGGGCCATTTCGCCATGCCAGGCAGCTGGGGAAGCGGCCCATGTCTGAGTTTTGGGCTGGGATTCTACCAGCCCCAAGGGTGACACTGGTTATCTCCAGCCAATCCGAAGCTCAGACTGGTAGCTAGTCAGAAACAATTGAGGAAAGCAAATGAATTATCCTTTATGCAGTACAATCAGCTTGATCTGAATTCTGAAAACATGGGGTACACAGTGGGGCTGCTGGAGAGAGGCAAATACTATGGGGACTCTTCAGCACTAAACAGACTGAAAATCACAGCATTAAAGATGAGGTAACCACTGGTTTCAACTCAGGTCCAAACTGCCCCCTGGAAGGGGTAAAACACTCCAGCAGCAGAAGCTGGGGAGCTGGGCAGCCAGTGCTACAGAGGAAGGGCGGCTCAGGGCAGTGGAGAGCAGCCCGGAAAGCAGCAGGCTGGCTGCGGCTGCTTCTGCCCTGGGGAAGTGCTGTCACCCATAAGGTCATGGCCTCGGGCTGGCAGGGCGGGCTGTGGGGAGCATCAGTGGATGTGAAAGTACTGAGGTCATGGCTTTGGCACCAGGCTGCTGGGAGGGGCAGATCACAGCACAGCAGTGACTGAGCAATGGGGAGGGGCTGAACCCCAGTAAGGGCCTGGTAGGCCCCAGGGGAGGCACCCTCAGTCCAGGGAGAGGCCAAGATTCTGTCCACTTTCAAGCTCGGGGGCAAACTCCTCAGCAGCTCAGCGCCCCTGCTCAGGGGGCAGCAGCCCCTCCCACTCCTGCTCATTGGGGTGGGGGAGCAGAAGGAACTACTATCTCACTGTCTTCCCATGCTCTGACTTCCTTCTTTTTCTGACTTCCTCCTAGTCCTTTACTGGAGGGCGGGTGTGTGTGAGGGGGTCAAGAGTCAGGATGGCTCAGTGTTTGAGTGTCGACCTATGAACCAGGAGGTCATGGTTCGATTCCCAGTCAGGGCACAGGCCCGGGTTGAGGGCTCAATCCCCAGTAGGAAGTATGCAGTAGGCAGCTGATCAATGATTCTCTCTCGTCACTGATGCTTTTCTCTCCCTCTTCATAAAAATATGTTGAAACCAGTGGTTACCTCATCTTTAATGCTGTGATTTTCAGTCTGTTTAGTGCTGAAGAGTCCCCATAGTATTTGCCTCTCTCCAGCAGCCCCACTGTGTACCCCATGTTTTTATTCTCCCTCTGAATAAAAATATATATTTTTTAAAAAAGAAAAAGAGGTAGGATGCATGGGGTCACGTGATAGAGGCCACTTGTACCCAATCCACCAGTCCCTCCTGTCAGGCCCTGACTTCCCACCTGTGGATCTTTACTCAGAGATCTTTATCCTCCTCCTGGAGTGTCCCCCTCTTCTCCCCTCCCCACCAAGGCCTGCCCTCTCCCCAAGCCCAGCTCCCTGGCCGCCTCCTTCTGGAGCCTTCCCTGGCCTGCCCGCCTGAGGGACTCTCACAACAGTGACCTCTGAGCACAGGCACTGTTCAACCTTCCCACCCACCAGCCCCTCCCCCTCCGCTGGGGTGGCTGTGGGGTGGGGGAGGGGTGATGGCATCCCTGTAGGAAGCAGCAGCCCCTTTATTTCCACCTGGGGTGGCGGGGAGGGGGGGAGGCCGGGGGAGAGGGGCCGCACTGACCTTGAGCCGCATGTCGCGGGCGTGCCGCTCCAGCTCCTTGCGGAAGTCCTCGCGGCCCAGCCTGTCCACGTCCAGGACCGAGTGCTTCCACTCGATCTGCTCCACGCTGTGCGGGTCGTGGGACACGCACTGGCCCAGCTTCACCTTCTTGAGCACGTGCCAGCAGCGGCCGTAGGCGGCCTCGTAGTCCAGCACGAGGTCGCTGAGCGTGCGGAAGGCGGGCGGCTTGTACATCAGGTCCTCGCGCCGGCTCATGCCCAGGGCCCCGTAGCGGCCCCCGAAGTTCACCCCCAGCACAATGTGGCGGAAGTAGTTCCCTGAGAAGTAGCTCTTGAAGCTGATGGGGAAGCGTTCCAGGGTGGGCATGCTGTTGGTGAGGTAACTGGCCATGTCAGCGCAGCTAAGGAGCCAGCCCGGGTGAGGCACGGGGCCAACACGTGGGGGCAGGACTGGGGCTGCACGCCCCCCACCCCAGGGACAGTCTGGGTGAGGTCCCCGCTCACACCCCTCCGTCCCCACGTCCCTGACATCATGCCTTGCTCACCTCCATATCCTCTTGCCTAGCCTTGTGCCTGGCATACAGTAGGTGCTCACTAAACAGAATCTCTAAGGGGCAGGGCTCTCAATGACTAGAGGCTGCTGCTACCATATCAAGCACCATTCACAGAATAACAGCTAAAAGTGAGTCCTTCACTCCAAACCGCAGGCTCTCCAAAGTCCTTGCAGCTTAAGGAGGCATGAGAGAGGCCTGCTGGCTGCATCCACTGCCCCCCTTCGCCCTCTCGCCTTCCTCCCATCAGTCTCACACACACTTCCCCTCTCCCCTGCCTTTCCTCCCAGATGCGTTCTCACGTGGCTTTTCTCTCTCAGGCATCCATTTCCTCGCAGATGCAGACAACCCTGTTCTCTTCCACTCCCGCTGCTCCTCCCTACTCTCTTACTGCCCATCACCCTGCAAATAAAACCACGCCTGTTCCCCCAGCCCCGGAGGCCATGCCGCCTGGCCCAGTGGCCCACTCCAACCTCCTCCTCGCTCCGCCACTTGCTCAGCCTCCCCATCCACCTGGGTTTCCCACCAGAGGACCTTCTGCACTAGCTTTTGCCGGAGGGCTGCTTCCCCCCTCTGCCCCCCGCCCTGGGCTGGCTCCTCCACATGCCTCAGGCCTGGCCATCATCACTGACCTCCCTTTCTAAAGCAGGCCTGCTCTACTCTTCTTTCTCCCCAAGGCATGCTCACTACAGTCTGTCACTATTTTACCTGTTTACTAGCTTTTTTTCTGGCTTATAAACTCCTGAGAACGGGGACCATGTCTGTCATGCACTTTGCCGTACCTCTGGGACTCAGCGCGGAGGCGGGCACGTAATAGTCTCTCAATCAAACTCTTCTTGAACGAGTGGGTAGAAGATGAGGGAGATAAAAACTCAGAGTAGATACTGTGTACAGACACTGTGCCACGTGTCCTGCATGTACCCACTCATTCAGTTGTCCTAGCAACCTGTGAGGCAGGCATGGCCCTGTCCCCCACTGCACAGAAGCTAATGAGACTCTGAGATGTGGAGGAACGTGCTCGGGGTCACACAGTAAGTGGGTGAGAACTAGGATTCAGGACCCCGAAGCCAATGCCCGAAGTCATTACCATACTTCTGAGCGACTCCTTGCAAGTGACGGAGGACACAGAGCTGGGCACGGCACAGGCTCATTGCAAAGGGTGAGGCGCAGGGACAGACGCAGTCCAGTGGCAGCATATGTGCAGCGTCTAAGGGAGTGGCTGTGGGGCCAGTATAAGGAGGACCTCCGCCCAGATGGGGGCTGTCCTGTTTTCTTCCTGCCCACGAGCCACCAGGTAACCCAGCAAAGGCCTTGGAGATGGTGTGACCCTGCATGGACCTGCTTCTATGTGTCAGTGGAGGAGAGGTGTCTCCCTCCTTCACTGTGGGTGGGAGCCCCACTTTGGTGTGTGACCCCTGAAGGAGGAGCAATATGGGGTCAGGAAGGAGGCGCTGGTAGTGACCGGAAGTTCTCGGGCTGGCCTCACCCTCGTCCCTGCAAAGAACCCTTCAGACAGGCTCTGGGAGTGGGGACCGCCCGCCCAGAAGGTCCCGCGGTCTCTGTATGATCTAAGGCAGCTATGCTCTGGGGGAGGGGTGGTCCCCTTGGCTGCGGTCCTGCTCGGACAGGCTGTGCCCCTGTCCTCGGACCATCTTCTCCCCGACCTATTCCAGCGAGTGGACTCTTATTATTGTGTTAGGCCCCTCCCCTCATCCTCTCTGCACACGGAGCCAGGGGCCTGCTCCAGAGGGGCAGGCAGAATATCTAAAAGCCGATGGCACCATGGGAAAGGGGGCATGTGAGGGATACAAAGAGATGAATCTAGATTGGCCCTGAACTGGTAAAACTGAGTGCTGGGCACATGGGGTTTATTATATTTTACTATGTTCATACCGGCTTAAATTTTTCTATAGTAAAAGAAAACAACAAAAAAAGGGCTCCTTCATGAACCAATCAGGTCAGAGAACTGGCCCTATGCACCTGCCTCCCCACCCTGCCCTAACTGGAGGCTTATCTGCCCACCTCAGGGCCAAGCCATAGTTCCAGCTCTGCCCTTTGGGAGGAATGACTGAGAAACCCTATTTGCTTTCCTTTTTAAAGGCAGGAAGTTCTGTTCCAACGACCCTACCCATCATCTTCACAAATCACCATGCCCTGGAAATGCCAACCTGTTGGCATTCACCCTGCTTTTCCCAGTCTGTTTGGCCCTTGGAAATGGCACAGTAGCCTTTGTGAGACAATGTGCCCTGATCCAGGGGTCAGAGAACAGGGTCACAGTATCCATGAGACTCAAGAGAGCTTCCCGGTAAGCCTGAGGCATGGGGGGATAGAGACCCACTCAAGCCCCTTCACTTTGGAGCCAAGTTCAAGTGCTGGGAGAGCGAGCTGTGAGCGCCCCTCCCCTCACCCCCCACCCTCTTCCAGAGGAGGAAGCTGGGGCCCAGAGTGTGCCTGCCCCCTCCCAGGGCTGAGGAAGGATACATTCCCAGGATCACGGCTTCCAGGCATTTGATTGGCAGAGCCTCTTTGGTCATTTCCTTGGCCAGGTCCATCAGCCTGGGGGCAGGAAGGCAGAGCCATGAGGACAGAGCCTCTAGCCCTTTCCAGTGGGGGAGTGTCAGGAGCGGGCAGGCGGATGAGAAGTGCTAGGACAGAGACTCTTCTCCCATCCAAACTGCCTCAGCTCAGGCCCAGCACCTCCCTTCCCTCCCCCAGGTCCATCCTGAGCCAGAGAGGGTAAAAGAAGAGACAGCCAACCAAAGATAAGGAATGAGGTCCCTTCCCTTTCCTCCTTTCACTTCCTCTTCCTACCCAGGCTCCTGACCTCTGGGGGCAGGAGCATGAATGAAGAGCGCAGTCACAGCCAGCCACTGGAGGGGGCGGGGTGGGGGCCGGTAGAAAAGCATGCCATGGATGCTGGGTACCTTGGCATTGATCCTGTCCCTTCTGGAGCACAGTGGATGCTCCTGACCCAACCCCGGTGCCTCTAAAGAGCTTGTGATTGATTGCAACTGCTCCCACAAGACTGGCCAGCCGCCCGAGTCCTGGACATGGCATCTCAGGCGCTTAGCTGGTGACTCCCCAGCAGGTCCTGAACTTGGAATTCAGGCCACTTTAAGACAGCCTGTTCCTGAGGCCTGGTTCCTCCTTCCGCCCCGAATGCTGCCTCCAGGTCTAAGAATGCAGCCTGGCCGCTGGCTTTTTCGCCCAGGACGGAGCTGGACTCCTCCACCCACGAGGCTAGGCCTGTCACTCCGCAGCTCCAGGACAAGAGCAAAGCTTTTAGGGTGCAAGAGGCTGCCTTCCACCAGGGGGTCATTAAGGAATGTACAATAGCTAGTAGCCCACTAAAAGCATTCTTCGCTGGAAAGCGGACTTGGACAGGCTATGGGTGGAAGGAGATGTAAAATCCACATTAATTTTTAAAACACAGGGCTTTAAGCCCATGGACAGCTCTGGGGTGAGCTCCCAGCCCCCCAGGCCCAGTGAGGAGGTGGCACTCAGTCCTCTCTCTCCTGTCCCGGGGCTTCCTCAGGGCCAAGCCAACCAGGGCTCTGGTGGGTTAGGAGTGAGAGACACGGGGTCTTGTACTAAATGACCAGAGGAGTCCAATGAGGAGAATGGGGTGACCACAGGTTCCCTGTGATGGGGGCAGCTCTCTCCTGCTAGACTCCCCTCATTAAAAAAGAAACCAATAAGGCTTCTACCTGGGACCACCCTGTCATTCCCAAGGCAAGCAGGGGGGCTGCCCATCACCCCAGCTCAGCACGGGAGCCCGGTGGTCATCTTGGCCCCAGTTCCTCTTCATGGCATTCTGGGGCCCCTGAGGTGTGCGGTGAAGGAGATGGGGCGCAGGGGGCCACGCCTCTGTGGCCTGCTCCCTGGGAGAGGCCCTGCCTGCCCCACAAGCTTCCACCCCAAGGCCCCGAGGCGCTCCAACCCGCCAAGGAGCATCGTCCGCCTGGCGGAGGGACAGCGCGCCCACACTTACCCGGTGAGGGGTCTGCTCTTCTTGATTTCAAAGAACTGGGTCCCTGTGTGATTGTACCTGCAGGGCTGGTTAAGGGCTTCCCACGTGGTTTGGCAGAGGCATGTCCCACCTCCCCACCCATCCATCAGACCCTGGGCCCAGCATGCCCAGGGGTGCAGGCTGGGTCAGGACCCCAGGAAGTGTTTCTTGAGAGGAACCTGGTGGGGGGGGGGGCACGCTGAGTTTCTGGAGGAGCACATGCTCCACACGGGCCCCCCCGTCCTCTCCATCCTCTGTGGTTTCCACCTTGCTCTCCCCCAGCCTCTCCTCCCAGGAAGGGGGCCATGGAGCAGGCAGCCAGGCCAGCTGGGGCTGGGAAAGTGGCTGGGCTCAGACAGCGAGAAGCAGCATGAACCCCAGGAAGAGGCTGGTGTGTGTTTGGGGGGTGTAGGAGGAAGGCGGGGAGGGTCCAGCATGGCTAAATTGCTAGGTGCTGCTCCTGGGCCATCCTCCCGTTTCAAGGCCGAAATGTCCCACTGACAAAGGGGGAGCTGGATCTGATTCTCAGTGACCAGCCTGGCTTTCTCCTGCTCAGGGCCCGGTCCTCCCATTTCTGCCTTCCCTGTAACCGGAGGGGCTGGGGGAGAGACCCGGGACATACAGGGCAGAGAGCAAGAGGGGCCCAGAGCAGGGAACCCGTGGGGTCTGGGCTCATGGGGGTCCAGCTCTGCATGGCTGGGCAACGGGCCCCCTGCCAGGGAAGCAGCAGGCACAGAACGGGGAGAGCATGCCAAGATGTGGTGCCACCTCCCGGAGCATAAAATCCTTTTCCGCTTCTACCTGTCCCCCGACTCAGACCCCCACTGCCTTTAAACTACTAGTGTTTAAAGTCCCCCTCCCTCCTGCTGGGCTGAGGAGGTCTGGGCTAGTGGACCTAGACGGGGCCACGGCCAGCAGGCAGCACAGGGAACATTTGCCCCATCACACGGAGAAGGAAGCGGGTGGCGAGAGTGGATCTGGCACTCATCACAGCCCTTGGGCTTGCCCACCTCCAGGGGCGCGAGATGCCCTGTGAGCTGCGGCTGGGCCGGGGCCGGTGCTGCTCTGCAGATACCTCTCCAGCCCAGTCTGAAAACAAGGCCCTCTCGCCGCTGGCCCAGCAGCCGGCCCGGCCTGGGAGGATACTGCAGCTCCCTGATGTAGCGCTGCACGGCTTCCAGGCGCTCAGGGACGGGCGTGGAGGGCGGGAACGCAGGCACAGTCGGTATGGGAATCTGGGGACAGAGAAAGAGCCCTGGTCACAGAGGAAGGCTCCCCAAAGCTTCCGGCCCCTGGAAACCCAGATTCCCCTCCCCTGCCCAGAAGCCTCCCCACTTCCCTCCTACCCCGAGCCTCTCTCCTTGGCAACCCTTTATGGAGGCTCCGGTCAGACCTCCCCCAGGACCATCCCTCTCCCTCCCGGCGCTTCATAGCATTCCTAATCTGGAGCTCCGGTTGCTGTTCCCGTTTTGTTTTCCTTAATAATTTTAGAAAAACACAGGTTGACGCACCGACTGTTTTGAATCTTAAACAGTCATCGACTCTACGGCTTAAAGAGAATGTCAGTTTTGCGGTTAAGTTCATCTGGATGTGGGGCTGGTTCTGGTTCAAGTGCGGGATCAAAGCCGGTTTACCTGGTGTCTCATCCTGGCAGGGCCGGCCCTGGGCTGGGGGAGCACTCCAGCGATGGAGGAACACCCCCAACCCCTGGCAGAAGGTGCTCCCCACCCGTCATGGCACATTGACCAGGCCTCTAGCTCCTGCTGGGCTGGACTGCGGTGGTGGCAGGCAGAGGGGCACGTTGCGACAGGTCTTGCTGTGGCTCTACTTGCCACGGTCTAACCACTTTGGAGGGGTTTTGTGGAGGCACAGGAGCCCTGGCTTCCCTTCAAAACCCCCCTTCCTGCCGCCACCACACCCGGAAGCAGCCCGGTGACAGGTCACCAGGCAGTCCTCCCGCCAGGAGGGGCTTTCCAGTGCTCAGCCCAGAAGGGGAGAGAAGGGGCATCAGCAGGAACCTCCTAATGGCTGGACATGGGCTGTGAGGAGCTAGGTCAGAGCTGCAGACCCCTGAGGCTGTCCCCTCAACAACCAGGTGGCCTCCAGGGCAAGGGCCACCTCGCGGGTGTGGGTCCTCGGAGCCCAAATCCTGGCAGTTTGGCTACAACAAGTCAGCGAGGGAGGCGGCAGAGGAGCACCGGCTGGTTCTCTGGGGCCACAGAACAGGCTTCTTTGGGTAGAAGAACCAGATCTCTAGGAGTGAGTCCCACTCCTCTGGGCTCCCCCTTGGCTACTGCCAGCTGTGGGATGGCCTGAGGGTTCCCCACCCTCATGTCTCAGGTCCCCGCCAAGCTTCTCTTCAGAGAGCCAGTGGCTGGGGCTGTTGAGAGCCAGTCTGGCGAGCAGGGGTGTGTGAAGGGGAGGGTAAAGCAGGGCTGGGTGGGGGAGGCTCTCCCTGTAGTAAGGTGCTGAGCCCACAGGGCACAGCCTTTTGTTTCTGACAAAGGAGATGACACACAATGGTCACTGCACCCCTGGTGGCCAGGGTCCCAGGACAGCCTGTGGTAGACACCTGCTCACTCCAAAGGGCCCGGATGCAGGAAGTGACAGCCCTGCATGAACTTCCTCTCCCAGCTCGCTGGGCCCCTCCTCCCAGGCTGGGCAGCCCCCAGGCTGACTCCTCTGTCAGGAAGAGGCTATTTCCCTTTTCACATCACACAGCTGCCTGAACCTGGCCACCACTCACAGTTGCCAGGGTGGTGGGGGGTTCCCTCTTCCTGCCTGACCACCCTGTGCCAATGTCCCCTGGGCCAGTATACGGGGTGGGGGTGGGAGAGGAATCACTTCTCACTTTACTATACCACATAGCACCCCACCTCCTCAGGGGGAAGGTCCCTGAGAGGCCACCTGCATGTCTCCGGTGAGGGCACCCCGTGATTCCCAGAAGCCATGGCTGCAGACTGTAAGTGCACCCCCTGAGACACTCCAACCAGGGAGGGAGCTGCAGCCTAAAGATCCTGTGCCCAAGCTCACCCAGCCCTGGGCTAGGAGTGGCAGCACCCAGGAAATCATCCCGGGTCGCCCAGACAGAGCACCCGGGCACTGGCCGCTCCGGGAGAAGGAAATGACTCTGAAGAGCAAAGGGCCTGGACTCCCAGCAGGGCCTCGGAGGCCACATCACTGAGGCTCAGCGGGAAGACACTGCGGCCAGCTCCGAGACCCAGGCTGACGCATGCAACCATTGCAGACAGCACTACACCTTTCTTCTGGATAGTCACACAGCATGCACCCACCCGCTCAGAAACAAATGGGCAAGTTTCTGTACGTCCCATCGACCAGGCCCACTTTAGGACTGGTAGCTGGATCTGCCCTGACACCTTTCCCTCCTCCCGAATCAGAAGCCATGAAATGCTTCTCACTGTTGAGGGTTGGGGTGCCTTGGGGGTGAGCGAGTTTGGCTTCCCAGACAACTCCTCCTCCACTACCAAGGCCAAGGGTTGGCCTTGCTGCAGGAACCCCTAAATCCTGAGCTCATTCCATTAGACTCGTTCAAGTCCATTTCAGTCCATCACAACAGGGAGGCTCGGGGTGGGAGGACAGCTGAGGGTGTGGGTAAGAAGCAGGAGAAGCCTAGAGGTTGCAGATGGTTCCCGAACCGGACTATCGCTGTCTAATCCCAGACCTGCCATTCACTGTCTGGCATCAAGCTCCCTAGTGAGTGTGTGCCTCAGACACCTCGTTTGTAAAAGGGGCACCATAATAGAACCATAGTACCTAACTGGGATCCTCATGTCAAGGCCTCAAAACAGGCTCAGGCACACGGCAAAGCTCAGTTCCTGCTGTCACTGTCACTCCCGTGTGTGCCAACCACTGGTCAGCACACGCTGGCTTGAAGTCCAAACCTGTATTTCACAGGAGCCCTGGGGCCAGAGAGCTGCAGTCAGAAGGCCTTCAGCAGCTGGCTCTGGGCTGCGTGGCCACTGAGCTTTTAGAGGTGGTGGCAGCCTAGAACATCAAGGTGAGATTCTTATGAGAGAGCACAAACTGTCCCTGGCTCTGGGATCCTTTTAGAAACGGCAGCCTTTTAACATACGGGTACCATCCTTTTAAAGGATGTTTCTCTACAGCGCCTGTAGAGTGGCTGCACCCTCCATCCTCGCTCCATTTGCTGGGTATGAATGATGTGTTCACTCGTTTCACATGCTTTTACTTCACCAGTTCTTCCCGACATCCTCGAAAAGGATATTGCTATTATCCCCATTTTATAGCTGAGAAAATGGAGGCACAAGAGGAGCCTGCAGACAAAAGGCATCATGGGAGAGCCAGGATTTTAACATGGTGCTGCCTCTGAGAGCAGAGCTCTCTCTCTTTGTCACACTACACGGCAGGGATGGCAGGAATCCCAGACTCAACAACCTGCAGGGACCATGCGGGTAACAAATGGGGAAGACAGGCTGGGAGTGAGTGGTGGGGACTGTGGCCAATGGGGGGAGGGGGAACCACCCCTCAGCTCCAGCTGCCTCTGCCATGTGTGACTGCCGATTCTCTGTGCCCAGATCTTCCTCTGAAAAGATGCCCAAAATCTTCCCGTGAAATCTCCCAATTTTAAATTTTAGCTCAAGGGTCTTCTAAAACATTGTGCTGTCCCAACAAAACACCCCTTGGGCCCACCGTGGTGTGACCTCTGCAGAGAATGCCAGCTCCAAGGACGTGGCCAGTCAGGAGGGACCAGTCCAGTGGTCAGTCCACTCTGCTGGCACAGTAGGATCCAACCATGGATGCCTCCCAGACTCTGGGGCTGCTTTCTCCTCTGGGCCAAAGCCAACGAGGAACCCCACACAGATTGGATGGGTTTTCTCTCTGCAACACTTTTTTTCCTGTGGTTTGAGGAGGGGAAGTTTTGGATTTTCCTAATCTTCTAACAAAATTCCCGTGACACTACCATACTCCTATTGGCCAGGACACACACTCCCCCCACCGACAGACAACCGCTTCCGTCCTTCACTGGTATCTTTTCTATACATGACGGTTGAGGATGACATTATAGACCAGTCCCTAATGAACTCATTCATTTTTTTCCCTTCTTTTTTTAGTCTCTAGAACCATTCACATTCTTCTATAACATGGCTTAGACATAAACATGTAAATGCCTGTTCTGTGCTAGGCACACAGGAAACCTTGGGAAAACAAAGAGGAATGCAACACAGCCTCAGCCTTTGTGGGTGACACCACTTAAGACAGCCATCATGGGGGACTTCTAGCTGTGCACAGAAAATTTATTTAATGTACTCCTCTCCATAGGCCCTTAAAAAAATAATGCTTTCAGAGAGGAAGGGAGAGGGAGAGATATAAACATCAAAAATGAGAGAATCATTGATTTTGGCTGGAGAGCTGTCTGCTAAACACCAACTTGTTCATGTGGCAAAAGTGTGTGGCTCTGGCCTCATGAGCTCATATGTTCTGCGTGATGAAGGACGTGGAAATGAACACCCAATAGCCAGTGTTGGTTTGAGGCTTTCGTTTAGCAGATGTTTTAGTGCAGCCTCTCACTTAATTTTCACCACCATCAACCCCAGGTGTCAGATGAGAAAACTGTGGCTCAGGTAGGCTCAAGGGACCTGTTTAAGGTCAGGTAGATAGGTGAGCAACCTGGACACAAGGGTCATATCCTCTGACTCAATACTTTCTCTTCTAGGAATTTATCTCCAGGAGATAACCAGAGATGGACCCCCAAGTTTGCCATAGTGTTTATTTTAAGAATACATTACAGGACAAACTGTCTACCCATAGTGGATTAGCTAAATAAACGCTAAGTTAGTAAGAGGGCAACTGTGTAGCCCTTCAAAATCAGTCCATATTTTATTTACTCAGGAAACATCAGGCAGTTGCTCAAATTCCAACCTCTGAATTCCTTTTTCCCAGAAGGCAACGTCTCACGGCTCTACCTGTAACGTAGTAAAAACAAAACAGGACTCTTGTCTCTGCCTAATCTACTTGAACTGTCACTCTGCCTAGACCCTTCCTTCTCACCTGAGCCATGAGGGCTAACTTCTGGGTTCTGACCTCTGTCCCAAGAGCTTTTATTTGGGGAGTTCAAGCCTCTGCTTCTTTAGTTAACTTGACCATAGATGTTAGAGAGAAAAACCAGGCATGTGTTCCCACTGTACAGCACGCAAAGTCTCCAGCAACCCCTTTCACTGAGCAAATACATGTAAATGCCTGTTCTGTGCTAGGCACACAGGAAACCTTGGGAAAACAAAGAGGAATGCAACACAGCCTCAGCCTTTGTGGGTGACACCACTTAAGACAGCCATCATGGGGGACTTCTAGCTGTGCACAGAAAATTTATTTAATGTACTCCTCTCCATAGGCCCTTAAAAAAATAATGCTTTCAGAGAGGAAGGGAGAGGGAGAGATAGAAACATCAAAAATGAGAGAATCATTGATTTTGGCTGCCTCTTGCTCAGCCCTCACTGGGGATAAGCCAGCAACTGGGCATGTGCCCTGACTGGGAATTGAACTGTGACCTCCTGGTTCATAGGTCAACACTCAACCACTGAGCCACTCCAGCTGGTTCTTTTTATATAAAAAGGTTTTTTTTTGTTTTTTTTTTTTTTTTTTTTAATTATTGCTTTGTATAGAGAGAAGAAGGAGAGGGAGAGAAAAACATTGATGTGAGAGTGGAACATCTATTGGATGCCTCCTGCATGACCCCCACCAGGGATCAAGCCCACAACCTTGGAATCGAACTGGCAACCTATTGGTGCATGGGACAACACCCAACCAAGCCACAGCAGCCAGGGCACAACTTACTGTCCCCATCTTGTGTCCAGCACAGTAGATGGCCTGGAGCCTGAGGGCCCAGTTCTACCACTGCCTATGGGACCCTGAGTTCCGACTTGAGTTTTCATATTTCCCATCTGGAAAATGGGCCTCAATCTGCATTTACTTCACAAGACCGTTGGGGAATTCAGTGGCATAACACATGAGAACATTTTTTTCAATATGTGAAGCCCTGTATCCTCCTTAGTCATTCATTCTCTCTCTGCCCACAGTTCTCTGGTTTAGCAAATAAGACATCAATCCACATTAGTGTACCTGTCAATCTGCTGCCCTGCCCATAAAGCATGGGCATTTTTAAAAAGACAGAGGAGGGCCTCCAGGAAATGAGGCTGTGGGCCTCACAGAGCCACCTCAGCTGCAGCTGGAGAAAGTTCTGGAAAGCACAACCTGCCTGCATTTTTACCTTACCATGACAGCCCCCTACTCCACCAAGCAAAGTGTGGCTTTGCTCTCTCAACCTCAAGGTCACGAAAACCCAGATCCCCCACCCTGCCCCCAAAACACACACACGCACACCCCTCACCTTGGGCAGGTCCATGGCCCCACGGATCCGCTGGGCCACCTTTTCTCCATCGGGATGGATCTTGGCCACGTGCTTCCACATCCTTTCCCAGGTGGCCTCGTCCACAGGCAGTCCACCCCGGTTGACATAGAAGGGGACACCTCCATCTCGCAGGTCCTCTTCCCCTTCCTCCTCTGGCTCATCCTCTCTCTGGGCTGATGCCCCTTCGCTGGTCTCCAACCGCCTGGCCCCAGGGGAGGCAGCGGGGGCAGCGGTGGGGGCAGCACCGCCCCCTATCACCTTCTTCCCTCCTGGCATCCCCAAATCCTTGACAGGGGCCCAGGGGCCTGAAGGAAGGAGGTTTCAGAAGGCAGGAAACACTGGTGGCTACAGGCGGCCTCCTACACACCAGCTGCAGCGATAACACATGGCCAAACAGAGCACAGGCGCCTTTAAGAAACCAGGGCGTGGCTCCCGTACAATACAATACTACTCAATAAGAAAATAATCAGTGCCTCAGCGTGCAGTGGGGGACACGAGGGGTTAGTGATCCAGGGTCATCCTAAAAGGCCTTGAACTCTCTGAAAAAAAAAAAACCCCACAAAAAACGGGATAAAGAGGGAACACCCCAACGTGGCAGCCTTCAGAAAGTACCGCAATGTGACAGCGAGAGCAATGACAGGCAGCCGTCTGGGCTTTCAGAGAGAACAGTCCGGGGGGAAGGGGGGACGGGGGCTGAGGCCCAGCAGCTCAGACCTGCGGCTGTGGAGAGGGCCGAGGCACGGATGCCCAGGCCAGCTGGGCCCCCCGGGTTCTGGTTGTGGAGAGAACAAAGTCCTCGGCAAAACACCGCACGCTCACACCTGCGCGCGCTCCTGGGCTGGGGGGTACCGAGGCGACTTCAGGCCGCATCAGCTCTGAGCCCGGACCCCCAAAACCCTGTCCGGGGCCCGGGGGGGGGGGAGGGGCGAGGGGGCGCGATTTCTTCACCGGGACCCGTCCGGGAGCCGAGACTCGCAGCCGGCGGGGTGCGGGGAGGGGGCCCGCGCCAACGCGCACATCCCACGCCCGCAGCCAGCTCCCCCCACAGAGCGGGCTTTGTCTCCGCCCTGTCCCCTCGCTCCCCGGACGCGGCAGCGGAGCCCCCAGAAGGGGGAAGGGCGACGCGGGGCGGATCCGCAGCCGGGCACGTCTCAGCGGGCGGAGAGCGGGCACCGGGCGCGGCGCGGCGCCAGCCCGGCCATCGCGGGGCGCGGGTCCCTCCCCGGGGAGCGGGGGTCAGCGGCGGTGCCCCGTGCGGCGCGCAGGGGCCAGGCTGGAGTCACCGCGCTGCAGGCTCCGGCTGCCGGGTCGCCGCCCCCGACTGGCTGCAGCATGGGCGGCGGCGCGGCCAGGGCGGGCCGGGGATGATGCTTCGGGGCGGTTCGCCCGCTCGGGCTCCTGCGGCCCGGCTGAGGAGGTGGAGAAAGGATCCGCGGGGCGCGGGAGCCAGTCTCTGGCCGGCGAGCGGAGCTGATGCGAGTGGTAAAGCCTGGGCGAGCGCGAGCTGCGCTGGTCCCCGGAGAGCAGCCCGCAGAGCGCGCAGAGCGCGGGGTGCATGCACAGGCGGAGCCGGGCCCGCTGTGGTCCCCGCCGCCCCAGGGCCCGGCTGTCGCCCGCCTCCCCGCCCCCCCCCCAGCCCTCCCACCGCCCACCCGGCTGGGCTCTGGCCCGCACCGCGCATGCGCTCTGTCCCCCCCTTAAAGGGACAGCGCGTCCCGCGGGTCCGGTGCCTCCCGCTCCGAGTTGCCTCTAGGACGCGGGTGAGCATTGGCTCCCTTGGCACCCCTCTATCCCGGCGCCCGAAGCTGCGGAGGAAGTTTACAATAAGCCAAACGGTGTGCACCCCCGGGCGATTCCGGGCTCGGAAGGTCCGCGGTAGGGAATGTCCTAAGGGGAGCACCTCGCGGGGACCCTCAGTCCTGGGGTAGAAGCCAGGGCATGGCCTGGAAGACCGGGATTCTAGACCGGACTCAACGACTGTTTTCCTGCGGGACATCTAACAGATCACGTCCCTCTGGGGGCCTCAGTTGACATAGAAGGGACCCAAGGTCATCGCGCTGGGTGAGCGTGAAGCCCCAAGGGCGCGCGCATTCCTAAAAGGTGGATGGATAGCTGGGGGATAGGGTCACTCTCTGGAAGCGAAAGGGTTAAAATCACAGTTCCACCCCAAAACCTGCCCCCTCGGGAACGTGGTGTCCAGGGTTCTCTTCTAGCCCACCTCCCTGGACAGGGCTCTGGGTACACACACACACACCCACCCCCCCCCCCCCCCCCCCCCCCCCCCCGCCCCGCAGGAAGCAAGCTGCACCCTCCAGTCCTGGGACTACAACCCATGGGAAGGTTTGGGGATGGTCAGCCGTCCCAGAAGAAGGTGTAGTGGCACCCATGTGTTGATTGGGCTCAGGAATGCAGAGGCCCAATGCCCCCACCCCTCCTCACAGATGTATGATAACTCGGAAAAGGCATGGGAACTTCACTAAGTTGAAGCAGCCAGACTGCTTTAAAACTCCTCCTCACTCTCCCACCACGTTTACATGTGTATAACAGGATCATGGGGTCAATGTGGACCCCTGGGCGCCTGCAGGTAGACTCGGCTTCCTGGGTCTGAGGTGATGGCATTTCTCACCATCCCCTTCTCTGATAAACACAAGTTCCCACACCTGGGCTGGGACAGACAAGGCCTTGGAGAATCTGAGGTCCTCAGTGGTTCCCCATCTGTTTCTTAAAGTTGCTCCTGGTGTTCAAACTTCATAGGTCCGGGAAGCTCCCAAAGCAGCCTCTTGATGCCTCCAGAAATCAAGGGTGATCAGTGAAGGGTCACAGGACTTCCAGAAAGCTAATTAAGGGGGGGGATCCTCTTTAAAAAAATTTAAAAATCGATTTTAGGAATGGAAAAGGAGAGAGAGATAGAAACATCAATGATGGGAGTTCCTGAATGCCCCCTACTGGGGATGGAGCCCACAACCTGCACATGTGTCCTGACCAGAAACCAAACTGTGACCTCCTGGTTCATAGGTCCACATTCAACCCCTGGGCCACACCAGCCAGGCAAAGCAGCGGGTTAGGTGGTCTTCTTAAGCTCATTTTTACCTCAATGTAAAAAACCACTAGGGGCCACTGATTGCATTATGCTAATTGTATAGATGGGGACACTCGGTCTCAGAGAGTGATTTTCCCTAGATCACACAACTAACAACTTGAACTGAAGTCTTCACTTATTCAGACACTAGCTCTGTACCAGCCCTGGGGACACAGCTGTGAACAAGAGAGATATGGTCTTTGTCCTACTAGGGCTTACGGTCTGCTAGTAGAGGAGACGGTTAAAACACAATTCCAATAAAGTACTTTGACAGAGACTTAGTACACAAAGCTATGGGAATTCTTGCCCAGGGAAACTCCCTGCTCAGGTAGTTTGCTGGGGAAAGAAGAAATGAGTTGCATACAAGGCTAGCATGGTCTAAGCTAGAAAGCTTTCTTCATAGAAATGGGAGTGAATCAGAGTCAGACAAGGTGAAACTGGGAAGGGATGTGTCTAAATCTCAAAAGCCCAGAGAAGACTAGTGTCTTGCCTGGCATCACACAGCTTGTGAATTGAGTCCAGATACTAGGTCCTGCATCATACTCTCCCATGATTCTCCCACTCTCACACCCAGAACAACACCTGTAACAGACACTTGGGTAACTTCTTGTTGGCTCTTAGCTCTTAGGATCCTTGCCTGTCTTCACAAGAACCCTGGAAGAAATGAGGAGAAGTTAATTCCCGTTTCAAAGGTGAAGAAATAATGCACAGGAAGCGAGGCACTATGAGCACCTAGTCCAGGAGCTAGCACGTCAGAGCTGCTCTGTACAGTGACTTTGACGATGACAGGGATGGTGATGCTAACGATGCCTCCCTCATCACCTGTCACGGTTGTTATCTTCAAGCTTGGACTAAGACTGATGTTCTGGAAGCTAACACAGTGTCTCTGGGCATCAACATCTGTATTAATCTGCTCCAACTCATTTTCTAGTCTTACAAGACTGCAGCTAGAATCAAGTTCCCAGAGAGGAGAGTCTGGCTGACGTAGCTTGGGTCCTGGGCCCACCCCTTGCTGGAGAAGGGCAAAGCACCTTCACAAGCTGCCCTCCAAAGACTACTCTCCAGTGGGGGCAAGGGGCTTTCTTAAATGCAAATGGGCACAGTTAGTAAAAGAGGGGCACGGGGGTATACAGATAGAGATGTGTTTGTAAAAGGTAGATACCATGTCGGCACTGTCCAATGGGGCAGCCAGAGTCATAGGTGGCTACTTAACTGGAATCAACATGAAATAAAATTAAAAATGCAGCTCCCCAATCACACTAGCCACATTTTGAGCAGTCAAGAGCCATTTATGGCTGTGGCTACTGTATTGACAGCATAGACTATAGAGCATTTCCATCATTGCAGGGATTTCAATCTGCTCTGAGATTCTTACTTAGAATTCAATTCTTCTCTTGCCTCAGACACTGGGAAGGTGGAAATAGCAAAAGAGGTGAGTCAGAATCTTTATTCATTTATTAACACATATAATAAATATATACCCTGAATCAAACACTGTTGTAGGCACCAGGGTCCCTGGAAGGGAGGTTGGAGAACTCCTGTCCAGTGCATCTTGCAGTAGAATCATCTTAAAAGCACTGATACCCAGGCCCCACCCAGCAGAGATCCCGGTGAGATTGGTTTAGGGTGGGGCTTGCTCACCAGGGCTTGGAAAGCTCCCAGGTGATGCTACTATGCAGCCAGGCTTGAAAACCACCACCGTCTGGTTGGACCGGTGAAGTGATTGGCCTCAGATAACCTGCAGATCCAAATCCAGGTGGGTCTCACCTCTGCTTTGGGGTTCTTGTGACATAATCAATGTTCTCCGTAGACTCAGCACCTGTGTGAATGGAGGCACAATTCTTAGGGGAGAACACATCTATTCTCCCTTAATCCACAGGGAATCCAATCCACTGAGAATAAAGCACCCAAAGAACTGCTGGTGTAAATTGCTTCTTTCTCAAACGGTGTGTTTCAGGCCTGGAACTGCACTCTTCAGCCAAGTGGGTGAAATGCCTTTAAAAATAGTGCCTTTTCTGAGCAGGCCAGGCACGTCACATGCAGCTTTGTGTAAGCGCCACAACACTCTTAGGAGACGAATTTGGCTGACACCACTTTACAGATGAGCACACCGGCATGCAGAGGGGTTAGGGACACTAATTGCCCAAGTTGGCACAGCTGGGGTTCCTACTGCAGCATCTGTGTCCTTTCCTCCCCACCACCCTGCGCCTAGCTCAGTGCTCGGCAAACTCATTAGTCAGCAGAGCCAAATATCAACAGGACAATGACTGAAATTTCTTTTGAGAGCCAAATTTTTTAAACTTGGACTTCTTCTAACGCCGCTTCTTCAAAATAGACTCTCCCAGGCTGTGGTATTTTGTGGAAGAGCTACACTCCAGGGGCCAAAGAGCCCCATGTGGCTCGACAGCCGCGATTTGCCAACCATGAGCCTAGCCCTTGGCAGAGAGTGCAGGGCAGCTGGCAGGCAGCGGTGTTGTGCTCTGGGTGGCACAGGGAAGAAAGCTCTGGGAAGGTAAGTGCCAGGGGAAGCCCCGAGCAGATATGACCTGGACCCTGTGCTGAGTGAAAGCGCTGGGGGCCAGGAGGGAAGGGGCCTCAGGGGTCTGACAGGCGAGGGGTTTTGGAGCAGAGTTCTCCTTTTCGTTAATGGTTGTGCCTGGGTTCCTTTTATCAAGGATTTGGAGGAAGCAGCTCAGAGCAGCGTTGTGCTGGGAGAAGTTAGCTCCTAGACAGCTAGCAATTATGGTGCACGCTCAGTATAAGCACTATCTCTTCTTGGCTGGATTCCTGTGGGCTGGCAGGATGTCTATGTCGCCATGTATCTTTGCAATCTGAGCCCCCACCTGATACTTCCTGGGCAGCCTGGCCTGGCCGGGGCGGGCTGAGAAGGGGCAGGACTCATTGTGTCCACGCCAGAGGACTTCAACAGTCAGGGAGCTATCTCTCGCCTGCCATTCTCAGGGGGCCACCTCGCACAGAAATAGGAGACCCAGCCTCGGAGAGCAGCAATGGAGTTGGGTCGGATCAGGGCTTGTCTGTGTGGCATTCAGCAGGCCTGCGTCCCTCCTATTAGAAAGCTGGCTTTCCCATGGACTGTTTGCACAGTAGCAGGTGTTTGGCTAGTGGTGGATTATCATGTCGGTCAGCGAGAAATGGCCAGTCTGCTTAGTGGCTCCCAGGCAGTGGCCTACGCTTTGGCAGGTCCAGAAATAACCAAAAGGCAAGTCTCAACTTCCCTACTCACCAGAAGGGCCCGGGACCTGAGATAGGGAGAAACAGACTGTTCTGAGATATCAGTTAATCCTGAGGACGAGGTTAAAACCATTTAAAATTGCAGGATGATAGATCATGCGGTTGGCTGGGCTTATTTCTCAAACTGTGGCTTCCAGGGAATACTTCACTTGAGTTCAATGGTCGGCAAACTGCAGTTCTCAAACCACATGTGACTCGTGAGCTGCAGTTTGCTGCTCTGTTGACTAATGAGTTTGCCGACCACTGTGTAAGGCCCAGAAGTTTTGACTTCAGGTTAAAGACATTAGTACATTATTTAAAAT